GTCTTATATCCTAACCTCTCTCACATCTGTCCTTTCCTCTCTATCTGCACTTAAATTCCCTTATATCAAGTTTTCATCATTTTTAAATTTATTCTTCAAACCATTTCCAGAGTGACTTTCCTAACATGCAAGCACATGACATTTTTTAAACCCTTTCGATGGCTTTCCTATTATTATCAGGATTAAATCCAAACTCCCAGGCACAGCATACAGGGACCTTCATGATCTGTGAAGTCCTTTGTGACCACTTCCTAGACTGTCAGGTAATGTTAAGTACTCTTTAAACATTGTATCTCCCTCTTTCTTTCTTTTTAGCCTTTAATGGAAGATATTTTGCATCTTCAGTCACAATTGTCTCCCCAAATATAGATGTTTCATCCTTCTTTATATACCATTGCCTCACATGCTCATGCAGATGTAATAGGGACTAAATCAATGGTAAATGAACAATTAAATAAGGAGGTTTGACCAGTATTGTAGATCTCACACTTTGGGGCAAACTGCTTAACTTCTCTGTATCTCAGTGCATTAGAATCCGTAAGGACGCTGAGTTAGGTGGACTAGAGACTACCACATTTGAGAAATACTGAACCGGATATTTATACTTTCTTCTAGATCTAATATTCTATAGGGCTATCATTTTTCTCTCATAATTTGCTTTTTTTGGTGGGTAAGGGTGGTTTAGGGTGAAGGAGGAGTGTGAGGGAGTTAGGGTACTTCATCCTGAAAAGGGGAGAGTTTACAGGCATGTTCATAATTAGCCTTTTTCTCCCCTTCTGTCATTTTCTTCTTTGCCGACAGGACTTATGCACATCTTTGTGTATTAAGCAGTGAAGTGGGCAAGAGAAAGAGAAACTCTCAGTCCATTATATTTAACGTCAATTAATTGGAAATACAAATATTTGAACTTATGCAACTGGTGAATGGTATGTTATCAGGAACTTTACCCAATTCTGAGGCATCAGGCAAGATGAGAGATGTGAGTGGTCTGAAGGAGCAATTATATGATATGGGATCATTACTCAATCAATACATGCTTATCAAGTCACATATAAAGAAACAAGTTTTTGACTCACAGTGAAGAACCCTATCATGATAAAGACATTAAGTGTTAGTGTCTCTAGGGTTCTGACTTTCTTTCTTCCTATTTCCCACACTCTCCCTGGACAATAACATGCATTCCTGTGGTCTGAATGATATACCAAATATTTGACTCTAGCTCAGAATTCTTCTGTAAGTTCATTCTTGACTATCAACCCCTCACTGGACATATCCATGTGGATCTTCTGCAGACTCCTCCAAAGTAGCACACCCACAACTGAGCTCACCATGGCTGGGCCCCTCTGCCCCAAACCTGCTTTTCCACGTCTACCTGTTCTCCCTCAGCTGGTGGTTCTTCCTTTTCACTTAGTCACCCAAAAGAGTTATCTGTGGCTCCTCTCTCTTTCCCATCTACCATGGTAACTCCTTTCTGGTCTGTCTCCACCTTGCTATTCTCAAAACTCCAGCTTTAGTTCAGGCCCTCTTCACCATCATGCTCCTGGACTACTCCAATAATCACACTGCACTTGTCTCTTGGTTCCCTATATTGTCCATCTCCAATCAGTCTTCTCAGTTGCTGTCAGAGTGGTCTATCTCAAATGTAGCTTCTTTCAAATTATTCAGTGCTTTCCTATTGTGTCAAGAGGAAATGCAAATCCTCAGCATGGCATGTAAATAAAACCCCCAACAGATATTCTGGCCCTGCTCATCCTACCGGTTTTATCTCCTTCTGCACTCCTAGGCTGCAGCAATGCCCAATGGCTTGCAAGTCCCCAAATGTGTCATTTAGATTCATATCTCTATTTGTTTAAGCTAATCCTTCTGCCTGGAATGTTCTTTCCTTTCTTGTCCACCTGACAAGCATGCAATTATCTTTTAAATGTTATAACTTCTACAAAGCCTTACCTGACTATAAGGCCTCTTCTCACTGAAATAACCTACTGTTCCCTTCTTTGTGCTCTGTGGCACATGGCCCTGCACAGGGTCCAATAATAATACTGTTTTATATGTGGTGAATGAGATGATGGGCTCCTAGAGGACAGTACAGTACAGTGGTTAAATGCATAGACTGGGAAGCCAGAATACCTTAGTCCAAATTGTGACTCTGTCACTTGTTATATGGGAGACTTTGGGCAAGTTATTTCACCTCTCTGTGCCTCAGTTCCCTCAACTGTAAAGTATACAGAATTATTTTACTTATAGGGTTGTTATGAGGATAAAGTGAATTAATATACATGTACAATGCTTAGAATAGTGACGAATACATAATGATTGTTATATAAATGTTTGCTATAACTAATACTAACATTAATATTATCATTTTGAACTTGAAGCTTCAGGTCATGATACTGTATTTGACACATGGAAGGATAGAAGGTGTTCAATAACATTTAGTAAATTAACTAATAGCCAGGCTAGGTGCCTGCTGTACAGTCTCATAATATCCAGCAACTTTCCTTTTGTGACCGTCTTCTAACTTGTTCAACATGTCTCTCCCACTAGACTGTAAGACTCATCAGTACAAGGACCACATCCATCTTGTTCACCACAATATCCCTGGCACCAAGCACCATGCCAAGTACCAGCAGGCACACGTTTATTTGTTAGATATATAAATGAATGGTTGTGCATTTTAATTATTAGATTGCCTTTAGCATTTTGATCATTTTCTGAAATTGTAAAATGCAATCCCCTCTCCCATATTATTTCTATCCAAGGCAACAAAATTTCAGTGAAGGATTGTTAGAATTAGAGTGAAGTATTATGTTAGAAGTAATTCTCTTAACAGATGGATCTTTCTGTTTCCTTACAGTATAGGATCATAGACTTTTCAGTTCACAAGCTAATTCAGTGGTACAAAAAAATCCCACAGTACACCAATCCTTCCTGCTTACCACATGTCATTTTAAATGTTTAATAAAATTCATGGGCAGAGGCTTTGTGGGAGTTACCATTTATTAATTCTACTTATTTGATGAGTACTTGGTTTGAACATAAGAAAAAAATGATATAAAGAATGACCCATTAAAAGGATTTGAATAGACATATTCAAATGTCATACTCAAAAGAAGACACACGAATAGCCAACAGGTATATGAAAAAATGTTCAACATCATTAATCATCAGAGAAATACAAATCAAAACTACAATGAGATATCCTCTCACCCAAGTTAAAATGGCTTTTATCAAAAAGACAGGCAATAACAAATGCTGAAGAGGATGTGGAGAAAGGGGAACCCTCATAAACTGTTGGTGGGAATGTAAATTTGTGCAACCACTATGGAAAACAGTATGGAAGTTCCTCAGAAAACTAAAAATAGAATGACTAAATGACTCAGAAATCCCATTGTTAGGTAAATATCCAAAAGAAAGCAAATCAGCATACTGAGAAGATATCTGTACTCCTGTGTTTATTGCAGTATTATTCACAATAGCCAAGATTTGGAATTAACCTAAGTGTCCATCAATGGATGAATGGATAATGTAGTCATCGTACATCAACACAATGGAGTATTATATAGCCACAAAAAATGAAATCTTGCCATTTGCAACAACACGGATGGAACTGGAGAATATTATGTTAAGTGAAATAAGCCAAGCACAGAAAGATAAATCTCACATATTTTCACTCATATGTGGAACCCAAATATTAAAAATGATTGATCTCACAGAGACAGAGTAGAATGATGATTACCAGAGGCTGGGATGGGTAGGAGAAGCGGGAGATAAACTGGAAATGGTTAATGGGTGCAGAATTACAGTTAGATAGTTAGATGGTATGAATAATATTTGATAGCACAATGAAGTGACTATAATCAACAACAAGTTGGGATATACTTTAAAATAACTAAAAGAGTGGAATTGGAATATTCCTAACACAAAGAAATGTTAAATGCCTGAGGTGGTGGATACCTCAATTACCCTTATTTGATTAATTCTCATTTTATGCCTGTATCAAAACATCCCATGTACCCTTTAAAGGTATACAACTATTATGTATCCATAATAATTAAAAATAAAAGATTTAAAAACTGGTCCATTATTTTCAGTCCTTACAATTCGATGAAAAAATAAGCCAAGTGCACAAATGCCTACATTGGAATGCCTTTTATGTGCTCTAGCAATATGTACGGTAAGATTTCAGGGGGTCCCTATAGATGTGATCAGAGAAGATTTTATGGAATGGCTAAGATTATAGTTGGTCTTAGTAGATGGGTTGGATTTCCCTAGATAGAAAGGTAATAGCATTGCATGCTCAGGAAAAGGCATGGAGAAAAGTGTAAAAATACAATGCACTGGGGATAAGGAGAGCATATAGATTTCTTTGGCAGAATGAGGGATTTATGCAGGAAGCTGAAGTAGAAGATAGGCTGGAGAAAGAGATTTAGAATAGTTTGTGGTGGGCTTTTGATAATAAGGCCAGGATAGCCAAAGTTTATCTACAGACAATGGGGAACTATGAAAGATGTCAGGGTAGGGAATGGAAAAAGAAAAGCAGTGCTGTGGAAATAGTAACTGGACAGCAATATGGCAATACATTAAATGGAGTCGAGTTCCTAGGCTAAGTTGCATTTTTAGGTGATGGGACACCCAGTGGAAATATTCAACATATGGTTAGAAATGCTAGATTATTCAAATTTAGGGGAGATATGGATTTGAAATAATCTGCATAGAACTGCTAATAGGAGACTTAGGAATGTATGAAATAGCTATAGAAGCATTCCGAACGAAGCCAGAAGTTCAAGCACAGACCTATAACAATGAAAAATAAGATGAAAAAACAGGTAAGAGCATGTTGTAAATAAAGATGCAGTGAAATACTAACCTAGGAAATACCTGATGCCCCTCATTACCTACAAAGGCATTTTGATCACACTTTAAGAAACACTACCTTAAGGGAAGGATCAGATAGAACTTAGGAGTGGAAGAAGGGGGAGAAAGAAATAACCCCAATATACCTGTTGAACAGTCAGATCCTGTCCACTTGGGATCACAGCTGCACACTCCAGTGTCCAGAAGAAAAGTCCCATGTCCTGAGCACTGCTCTTGACATATAGGAAGTGGAGTTTCACAGTTGACTCCTCCCCAGCCAGTAGAGCAGTGACATTCTCCTTTTACACAGATGCCATGGCTGGAACACATTGGGTCTAAGCAGTCCTCTGAAGGCACAAAAAAGGGGGGTGGGGAAAGGTTAATAGTGAACAGGTACGGCCAGCAGACCTCAGGATAATGAAACTGAGGTATATTGATTTTCCAGTATTATTAAATATATAATTAATGCTGCTTTAATTGGATAATAAAATGACTCATGCAAACATTGTTCAAACCAGAAGATTATTAACACTGAAAAATATGGTAGGGTATAGTAAAGGTTGCAACCTAAATTTACAAGGAGAAGGAAACCACACATATGCTGTGTGAAATTGTTGTAGTACTCCCACACAAATAGGTGGGTGGACCACTATGGGCCTTTAATAAAAATTCCTTGGCTTTGCAGAAAAGCCAAGAAATTTTGGCAAGTCATTCATTATCCTTTCTGTTCCCAGAAAGGATTTTTACTTGATGTGTCCAGAGCTTATATAAATTATTAAAGTTTGGACTATTCAAAATATTGGGTAAGGTGACTGCTATTGCATAATATAATACAATTTACATCAATTTATTATAATCTCTCATGTTTTAACAAAGCACTAAAAGTGCAATGTTTTAAACTTAATTTAAAAATTCTTTTCTTTATGGCTTCTACTATCAGGACACTGTGACATAGTTTTCAATGTCTTTAAATAGCACAGACTCAATTCCACTTGTCTCTGATTCTGCAAGTCTGGAAATTTTTGTACACATTCTAATAAATGTATAAACTATTTTAGAGGTAGGTTCCTATGCTCACCTTGGGGAAAAATTGTTCTGTACTTTTAAATGAGTAGCCATTTGATTTCCAAATTTCTAGTCTTCCCATACAAATGAGACTAAAATAACTCATCATAATCAGGATGTATGCTTTGAATTACTTTTCCAGCAAAGGAAATAGAAGGATATAACCTGCCTGTATTTGCAACACTGGACTTGTTTTTGGGTGTGGCTTGTGGCTATGGAAGAGACTAAGTCTAACTAAGCACTATTATAATCAGTGTTATTGCCATTATAATTACCCCAAGATCTTAGGGTCATTAGCACAATATTTTAACACCTGAGCTAACCAGCAAATATACACCAGAAGGTATATCTCATTTGATTCATCATTTGAAGGGAAAGGGAAAGTCCAAAGTATAGAATCATTTTTTAGGAGGTCATTTTGTTATATTAAAGCACAATTTTAATAAATAAAATAAAATTTAATATAATATAGCTTGTTTTATTAAAATGACTGCTTCAATATATTCATGTATGTCATATTTAAATCATGTAAGTCATACTTAAATCAGAGCCACAAAGTCATACGGCCGAAGGGGCCAGGCAGGTGGCATACAAGAATGAAATGGGCTGGATGTAAGAAAATAAGGTGTGTTGAGAGCAAACTGAAAGCAAGTGTCCTTTTTAAAGGGTACTGCTGCTACTTGGCTTTAGTTGATTGCCACCATGTAGCAATGTGGGCCCAGGGTCACCAGATTTTCTAGTGTTCAAGAGAGGCTAGAAATAGGGATTTTCATATGACACTTCTCTACTTTTAAATTTTGACAAACAATTACATTAAACAACAGCAGCAGTAGCCAAACAAAACCCATCCATAGGGCTGGTTTAGCCTGTTGACTCCTGATCTGCGATGTCTGTGCTGTTGTATTTGAAAAATGTACACCATTAAGTGAGCATTCTTTCTTGCTCACTTGGTTATTCTACAAATTTTCTTAGTGACTTTGGAGAAAGCAAATTTAAGCTAAGTCCTTTTTCAACTGCTTACAGCATTTAAATTAGAAGGGCCTAAATTAATTAGGTTACAAGTTTTTCATGGCAAGTTGTAGATGTGATACACACCATTTTTTTGCTAACTCTGTTTGTGTCCATATAACATCTGAATTTACAACCTAATGATTGCAGTTGGATCACCGTAAAAACAATTTCCAAAAGTAACTCAGGAACTCCAGCGCCTTGTCTAGGCCCAATGCCATTTATTGGAACAGATATAATCTTTACACCAAAATTCTACTATTCCTAATGGGAGGTGAAAAGCTAAAGCCTTGCTTGTTCATGGAGTGGAATGAGATTAAACTCTTTAGAATGCTGTGTAATAGTCTTAATGAACCATCTTTAAAAAGCAATTATTGTGCATTTTCAGCAGCCTCTTTCCCGAACAACAGTTGTGATGAGACCATCTCCCATGGTAATGGTTTAATATTATTTCTGAAATCAGTCGTGTTTGAGAAATGTGGCATGAAAAAGGTCTGATTACTAGTAAACTTATTTTCCAGTGTGTCTCTTTAAATGATAAAACTTGCTATTTCAAAAAAAAAAAAATTTAGGTAAAGACTCCTTTGGGATGAATTTAATTTAAAGGCACTGCTTTGAAACTCATTAGTGGCAGGCCTGCTTCCTTAGGCATGGAGGTCAGATTTCAGCATGAGGTATGTAAAAATAAATAATATAAAGCAGTAATAATAATGGTAATTACAAATCACTCCAAAAGAAAACGTTTGCAAAATGGCTCCAAATGTGCATATATTATTATTTTTATTGTGTGTTTTAAAGTGAAAGGTAGCAAAATGCACTCTGTAATAAGGAAAGCATATGACTTAACACCTAAAATCATCGGTACGGAAATTCTTAAGTTATAAAACAGTGTTAGAAATGAGGGGTGGGAAATACTATTTTTCATTACTGTTCTACAAGTGTCACAGATATGGCCTCATGTGTAATATCAGACTGTTAGAAGAGATAAGAGCTACCCTGGAGCCAACCCCCTGATTCACGTACTAAGAACATGCTGGTCATTTATTGTTTGCAAAGACCACTAGCATCTTTACTAGAAGTGCGGAATGACACCGTGGATGATTCAGTAAGAGAAAAAGCCTGAAGCAATAGATTAAAATGGGGCTCTGACCTTCTTCGCATATTTCTCCTTTGTATCCTGGCACACAAATGCAGACTCCCATGATGCAGGTGCCATGGCCAAAGCACGTTGGGTCAATGCATTGTTCTTCTGGAACATCACACTCTGGCCCCTTCCAGCCATGCCGGCAGACACAGTGTCCTTTCTCGTATTCTCCGTTCCCACCACAAAGCACAGGGCATGAATCTGAAGGTTGGCAAATGAACTTGTAATGTTCTCATAATACTTTCGAAATCTCTAAAGAGCAATTGTCTATTGATTCTTGTATAATATTTCAGGCAAAAAATTGTACTATTTCTGTCTTATCCTTTATTAAATAGGTACATGTTTATGATTACCAACATAGAAATTTTCCTCTTATGGGAGTGGGGTAAAGATAAATTATAAAGATATCCTTAGTGGAGAAATTGCATCAAGTATTTGCTTTTGATCTCACCATACTCTTAAACTATTATCATTATTATTATTTTATGCTATGGTTTTTCTTTCTTACAGTTTTTATTCCTCAAGCAGATGTATATTCCTTTTAGGAAGCAAAACCTCAAATTTTAAAAAGCATTAAATAGGCAGTTATTCAAATTATAAAATATTATCTTTCAAAGTTGTGTAATTAAATAGAAAACATTGGAAATGAGCAGAAAGTATCTCTGAAATAATAATTATAAGTCTATGGGAAAACATGGTGTGATTTACCTAAAGCTTTTCAAAAATTAAACTATGGGCAAATCTAGGAAACAATGAAGTTTGCTAAATTTAACTTCTGACTTTCCAAGTCTTTACTTTCTAGGCTACTTACTCATCTGGTGATTACCCTCTCCTTCCAGGTACATTGGTGTGTATAAGCAGCTACCAACTTTGCCTGCTTTTAAACTCAGTCCATTATGAATTAATTTATGAAGGAAATATAAACATCATGTAGTGGTTGGGTCAGACAGCCTAGGCACAAATCCCAGCTGTTAGGTAACCCTGGCTGAGTCACTTAACCTCTCTGAGGTTATTTCTTTGCCCATAAAAATACTATAATCGTAGACTTACCTCATAGGGCTATTGTAGGAAGTAGGAATTAAATGATGTGACACAAAGTATTCAGAACGGTACCTGGTATGGGAAGTGCTCAGCTTTTGGCGGCAGCAGTAGGGGGCACTGCTGCAGTAACTGCTGCTAGTGCTACTGCTACTATTACTACTACTATTAATTCTGAGTTCTCAAATGACATCTATTTCCCTAAACCAATCACAATAATAGAGAAACATTACCTCTAGCACAGTCAGGTCCAAGGAATCCTGGGAAACAGTGGCAATGGCCAGAGATACACTCTCCATTTCCATTGCAATTGGTTGAACAGTCATCCATTATTTCTATTAATACAGAGAAAAACAAAAAAGTGAACAAACATCCAGGGTGTAGAATCTTTAATTTTTTTCATTGCAGGAACTCTGGGCCTATGACAATCTTGCCCTCTGCTGTTTATGGAACACTTACTCTTCAAAATCAGATGCCAAAGACCCCTATAAGATGTCACATGTGTTACAAAATTATGAAAAGGGCTCTGGATTTGCTGAATTGGCTAATCAGAATGGAAATAAAAACCAACCTTATCTCTAAAGTGCATAAATGGTCTAGATGACTTGTATTCTTAAAAGGTATTCATGATAAAACTAAAAATGTACCAGGATCATAGAACATTTCTCAAAAGCAAAACAGGCTTAAAAATGCAACCTGGAAGACTAAACACTGTTTATTTTTCAAATTTAGGTTGCAGCAAATAAATTTTTTTTCTCTAGCAACTTAGAAAATTTAATCTACTATTCTTGACAGCATAAATATGATATTCACTGTTTCATTTTCATTAATAAGTGACAATGGGAGGCTTTTAAAGTAAGTGGTCATATTAAATTCACCACCACTAAAAGCATTAGAACCTAAGTATTTCGTTGAGAAATGCTTTCTTGACTGTAAATGCTTATCAGTTCTCTGCCACTAATTTCCTTTCAATCCATTCTTAGAGAAGAATAGGTTTCAGATGAATTGAGAAACTTTTGTAGGTACCCATAGGTAGTTCTGGTGACTTAAATATGTGCAGTGCAACATAACTTTGATAAGTCTTGTGGTAACTTCCTTTAAAAACTATAATGTTATACAAATGTCAGTCTCTTACAATGACATAAAAAATGTTTGTCATTTAACATTGTAATTGAGTATAATAATGATTACATTCTAAGTCTATGAACAATTATGGTACCTCTGCTTTACTCTTGTAGTTTTGTATGTGTGTGTTTTTTATCTTCTTCTCATTATTCCTTTCAGTAAATTTCCCATACTTAGTACTCTTGGACTCAGAATTTTATGATCTGGCCTATTAATCTCACGCTTCTCTTATGTACCAATTTTTCCCTTTTCAATCCAAATTATCTGCTTCATCAAGTTTCACTTAACTAAGCTATTTCTCATTAGGAGAGATTATAGGAGGTGGTCCTGGCATCTTCCACTGAGCAATGAGAGTGACAATTTATAATGAGGGTCAAGAAATAGCATTTCTATAATTGCGGTCTGTGGACCACTTTTATCAGTAGGATTGCCTGGGGAACTTAAGGTGAAGATTCCTGGACTTTAGCTCCTGATCTACTGAATCTGTCCCTGAGGGTGGTAGCCCAGAAACCTATATCATAACAAACACCCCAGGTGACCCTGCAGGTGCTCACCACATTGAGAATGCTTTAAATAGTAAACTTCCATAGTTAAAGAACTTGTCATCTAGATGTTGGATTTCTGTCTTGGGCAGGATAAAAGCAAGAGGAAGAAAGGGGTATCTAGTCCATTGAGGGTATTCTTAGAAAGCTAAGAATGAATCCAGTGGCTGTGTGGATAGCCACTCTATTATCAATCAGAGGAGATGAATATTCTCACCACTGTGTGAACACATCACATTGCCTTTTGCAGGTTTATATGGGTCTGTTCTTTGTTCACAGTGTTAGAAAACTGAACTGGATAAGCAAGTGACATGTGACATTTACTTATCTATTAATACAACTGGGCTGGCTGGAATGTAACATTCAGCAAAGAGCCAACCATTTTCAACTCATTAAAATATTAGCCATTTTCAGAAATTCTTTAATTTATTTAACAAGTAATTATGAAAAGGCATAAAGAGATTTTTCTTTTCATTCAGAGATGGGACAATTTTTTCTCCATTTTCTAATTAACTATCTTTCTTATACCAAGTGGTACTGGCAATTTTTAAATCCACATTTGGATTTTTCCCTGCCCTGCATGGTTAATAGGAGGCCATGAAGGAAGCTTTCAAAAGTAAATATAGTTGAATTTAATTTCACACCAGATTCTATTGACAATTTTATGGAAGCAGCCTTGTGGGAATGTAGCTATTCTGGAAAAAATATTTAATAAAGTTTGCTATCAAAATAAATAAAAATCCCTACATCTTATTGACTTATCTAAGAACTGTCCCTGGGCTCAAACTGCTGCATAGAGCTTAACCCCAGCAATGCAAATGAGAAAAGAAGGCAACATAGAAGGTTTTGGAAGCTGCCACTTCCACTGGGTTTCAAAGAGACACTGAGGCAGCCTAGGGACTCCAGGAAGAAGTTGGCTGCAGCAGGAACACATAAACAATGGGTGATGAAAAAGAATGTGTTTCTCTATTGGCCTCCAGTAATCTTTACCTTCTATATTTTAAATCTTAATTCTGAACCACTTACTAGATGGCAGTTCCAGAGTTGAGAATAATTTTGAATTTCTATATTTAAAACCCTGCTCTTATTCTAGAGTCAAAAGCCCCTTGGTATTTGCATCTGCGTTGATGATGGGTTTTGTTTCTGGCAGTTTTTCTGGGAGAAACTAAAGGTAATGAATAATATTATGGAATAAGTATGGTATAAAGGGCATGGGCTTTGGAATCAGACATACTAGTTCTCAAATTCCAATTTTGCCACTTGCTGTCTGTAAGAACTTTCCAAGTTATTTACTCCTTTTAAGTGTCTGCTTCCTTACTTGTAATATAAGTGTTATGATACCTGAGCTATCAGGGTTGTGATGAGAATCGAACAAGATAACTGATTATAAAGCATCTAGTAAAATGCTAGGGGCAGAATGGCACTTCATAAATGGTATATATTATCCTGCTATAGAGCAGGTTGCCTGGGATTAGGGGATATTGACAATTCTGCCTATACTACTGGATAATAATACATATTAATTGTAGGCCAGTGTGTGACCTATATTAGTCATTTAGTAAATGTTAGTTGTTAATTCTGTCTTGATTCTTGTTAGTAGCAGACAGATATAGTTAAGAATCAATCAACTGATTCTAACATCATCATGAAATAGATGAATGAGCAGCATTTAGAACAAATTCATACAGACCTTACTTTCTTTAATTAAATATATTAGTTTCATTTTACTGTGATTAATATAAACTAAAAACATAAAAAAATGAATGTGGAGAATTTAGGGTAAATGACTTATATGCTTTTTGATTTTTTTGAAATTTACTTAAATTTTCTTTATGTGGAAGAGTAAGAGAAATGTTTCTATTGTTTCAAATCTTAAAAAGACAACAGAAAAGTAAATAAACTGACTTAAATAAACAAAAAGCAAATATGTCGTTGCATATGAAACTGACAGCTTGATAAATGGATGATAGGAATTTGATCTCAAATGTTAAGTTCTTTTTGGGAGGAAGTAAGAGACAGGAAATAACTCCAAGCATGTTTCTGGGCCTATTGATTTTTGAAAGGTTAATAGATTGGTTACTGTTTTAACTTGAGCTTAAGGGTAAGAATAACAGGAAGAGAGAAAATCCTCACAAATATTTTATATCTTACAATTACTCTAATTTTTTAGGAGAAACTCAACCTCTCATAACTCATCAGCATGCACAATATCAAAACTAGGCCTTGATAGAAAAATATAATAAAAGGTCCATCTGTTGAATCTGCTTCATTGAGTTTGTGAGTGGCAAAACAGTGACATGACTTAAAATATATTTTTTTCCTAATTTAACAAATGCTTTGTTTTTGGAAGATGTAAGATTAGTGGAGTTTTTCTCTAGGGGAAAAATCATCAGTTCCATTCTATTGCCTTTTTGATTACTTTTGAGAAAAGTTTTTGATAATCTTATGGCTGGAATATCATTTTCTACTGACTCAAGGTCTTCAGCATCAAGTAAAAATAGAACATAATTGTTATAAAGAACAGATGGTATATCTATTAACAGTCAACACATCTTCCTAAACATATGGCTGAACAGGTTAACTAAAGGATAAAGTGGTGAGAGTTGTATAGAAAACTGACAGCTGTAAAATACTTTCCCTTCTTTTAAGACATGTGTTTTAGAAAAATTCACACAATATGATACTGTGTCTATGAGTTGTTTACCCTCAGGACTCTAAAATTGCTAAAGAGCTTAGCTTTATTCACACAAAGGGTTATGGGGAATGTATTTACCAAAAAAAAAAAAAAAATGACAAAAGAGTGAGATGTCTCCAACTAACTAGAGTGATAGTGAATGAGGATGTGTAGGCATTGCATTAAAAAGCTCTGACTCGGGTGGGGCAAAGGCAATATATGTAACCTAAACATTTGTAACCCTGTAATATATTAAAATAAAAATAATAATAAATAAAAACAAAAAAACAAAAAATGTGTTTTAAAAGGCCATGGGCACACTGAAAGAGACATTGTGACGATTTTCAAGCTAAAAGAAATTCTAAAAGAAGGGGCTTTGAATGACTCAAGTTATTATCCTAAATACTTTTTTCTCTAAATAATCTTATGTTGTATTTTGAAGCCTTAACGGTTCTAGAATCAGTTATTCTAAAGAAGAACTTTACTGATGCTAGTTTTTCTATTCGAAAAAGATATCTATTTGCTTTTTTTTTTTAAATAACAGAACTTGAATTAACATGGCTTTGCTTGTTTATTCTCTTCTTCACTAAAGTTGTTCACCTATGTAGTCTTGGTAATACTATTACCCAGGTAATTATTCCTGTTGAGAACACATAAAAAGGTGCATAGCAAGTATCCTAAAATAGCAGCAAATAAAGGAGCATTTAAAAAATCTTAATCAGCATTTAAACAACTTCACTGGTGACCTATCCTGAATAATGACTTTAAGGCAGAATAAGCAATAAGCTTAAATAACAACTGCATCACTTTCATCACTGATTGTGTCTTTCTAGAGTTTTACTGTTAATTCAATGTATGAACAGGCAAAGCATCTTACCGATTGCTGTAGTTAACACAAATACTTGCTCCATCTTCTTTCCGTCATTGTAAAATGCCAGATACCAAGGCCCTTGGTCCATATACTCTATGAAACCTGTCTCCTGAAGTGAGGTTAATATCAGGTTCCGAGGGGAATGCTGGGTATCATCAGAGCCCTTGGAGTCCTGCTTGACCAGCTGTTTGCCATCCATTAGTTTTACAAAATCAAACTGGAACCAATACAAACACAAATATAAGCCACTACTTTTTCTTCCAGACTGATAAACATCTCTAACTTTAACTGCTCTATCTCATACTTCTTTGATTTGGAGGTGGGCAAAGTAGAAGAGGAGGTTATTATTTCTTAAGCATACTTACACTCAAAAGCATATTACTAATTCTGAAAATGCCCTCACTATCTTATTAATATAAATGTTATAAATCTTTCAGTTTGGGAGTATTCAAAATAGTTGTTTAAAAATAAATAAACCAAAAACTAGAAAAAAATCTTGTTTAGAATTATGCAGGAGAATCTTGACATTTTACTAAAGTATCTGATAAAAGATACTTGAAAATATACATTCTACTCAGAAATGTTACTATAACCTTCCCTATAAATCAAAACAGTTATACAATTTCTAAAGCAAATGAACAGTCAAAAATTTGAGAACGTTCATGTAATTTACTATCTCTGTGGTAACATTTAAAAATTCAAAAGACCCTCCTCCCCCTTTTTCATAATCAGTAGACAAACACATGACACACATTTCCTTGAACATTTTTTTTAAGTGTCACATTCGAATGGCATTCTAATTCCCTTCCTATTCTGGCCCAGAGGTAAGGTTTTGACTATAGTCATATCTGTTGGGAAAAAGGCCAGCCCCAGAAGTTTGATTACTTTTGCTACTTCTTAGATGAAGCAGAGTTTCAAATAGGTCCATGTGGGGGAAAAAACAAAGGAAAGCAAACAAGGGAAATGAGACTATGAAAGGGTTATATAAACCATTGAGGTTTTCCATATTTAAGTTATTAACAATAGCAAAGAAAAATTTCTACCTGTAAGTCAAAAGCTTGCCTTTTCAACTCACTTCCTACCAATTTCTGATGGATGTACATTCCTTCACTGGGACAAGGGGACACGGATATATGGAACCAGCAAAGTGGGTGTGGACATTAAAGCCAAGTAAGACGAGAGAACTGGGAAATTCATGATCACCCTGCTCCAGGAACCAGAGGTCAAGCTTACAGGATATTGTCTTAAACTCTCTTTTCTGAATCTGCCTTGCTAAATACTATTTCTTATTTCTCCATTTCATTTCTTTCATTAGCATGAGTGTTTTTATTCTGGATATTTGTTCATGACAAAGATTTTTCTATCCTCACCTTTGACTCCCACACACTTCAGAAGTCGCAAACCCCGAACAGTTCAACACACCACCCTCAAAAAGGATTCAAGAAAATGCCAATAAAATCAAATACCTGCGTGTGTGTAGGTGGAATGTTTCTTCTGCCATAAATTCCCAGTAGAGAGTCCTTGGCTAAGGAAATATTGAATTTCAGATATATCGGATGGTGGATAGTAATCTGGAAACGCCAGAATAAGCCGGGTGGAATGGTCTGCATGACCTGTGCACCAATGTCAACTTCTCCAGTGTCTATGGCCCGTCCCTTCTGAAACACTGGTTTTAAAGACAGAGAAAATTACACATCATATTAGCCTTCATTTATAAAGCAATGGTTTTTAGCTTTTCAAGAACAGATATATCAAAACAACTTACTAGTGGATGGGCCTGGTGGCTCATGCCTGTAATCCTAGCACTATGGGAGGCTGAGGCAGGAGGATCGCTCAAGGTCAGGAGTTTGAAACCAGCCTGAGCAAGAGTGAGACCCCATCTCTACTAAAAATAGAAAGAAATTAATTGTCCAACTAAAAATATACTGTCATGGCACTCACACTAGCCCAGGCAACAGAGTGAGACTCTGTCTCAAAAAAAAAAAAAAAACAAAAAAAAAAACGTACTCAGCTTTTTCTTCCTAACCAGCATCTCCCATCTTTCAAGGCGTTGCCCAAATTAAATATCTTTCAAGGAGCCTTCCCTAACCAACCCCTATATCAGTTTCTATCTTCTCTTCAACTTCTATTTCATTTATTTCAATCCATTTCATTCCTTTTAACCATTATTTACTGAGCACTGTCTCAAGTCAATAGCAGAGCAAATAGGACAAATCACAAATAACCATATCATAAAGGAAGTTCTCTGGGTATTTAAAGAGGGTAAGATATTTAGTTGGAGGACACTCCTCATTCCTAGCTGTTTCTATATCCTTTGTCTTCTTCGTCTTCTTTTTTAAGACATAGTCTCTATTGCCCAGGCTAGAGTGCTGTGGCGTCAGCCTAGCTCACAGCAACCTCAAACCCCTGGGCTCAAGCCATCCTCCTGCCTCAGCCTCCTGAGTAGCTGGGACTACAGGCATGTGCCACCATGCCCAACTAATTTTTTCTATTTTTAGTAGAGATGGGAGGTCTTGCTCTTCTTCAGGCTGGTCTCAAAGTCCTGAGCTCAAGCCATCCTGCTGCCTCGGCCTCTCAGAGTGCTAGGCTTATAGGCATGAGCCACCACACCTGGACTCCTTTATCTTCTTTTATTTCTCTTTAGCACTTATCACCATTTAACATACCATATATTTTACCTATTTTTTGTTTATTGACTGTTTTCCCTCGGTAGAATATAAGTTCTGTGAGGACAAGGATTATAGCTGTTTTGTTCATTGCTTTATCCCTAGTACCTAGAAGAATGTAAGCCAATGTGGGCAAAGAATGTGGGTCATCAATACATATTTATTCAATGAATGAATGAATGAATCAGAAAAGAGTGGCATTGAAAATGAGACTTAATAGAGGGTGGGGATTTTAACAGAGCTGTAGGGAAGAGTGTTCCGCATGGAAAGAACAGCTTGAACTAAAACAAAGAGGAAGGAAACTGTAATGCTAAGCTGTAGGGTGTGTGTACAGAAAGAAGAGCAGTCAGACATAGGGCTGAAGGGAAGGGATGGCATTATATTCTTTAGAGTCTTGAGGGCTAGTCAAAAGGGTTTATTTAGTCAAGAATGGAAAACCATTAAACCTTAGGCATGAAACCTTAAGAATTCTAGAAGATGTCGGGAAAACCCTTTCAGACATTGGCCTAGGCTAAGAATTCTTGAAGAAGACTCCCAAAGCAATCACCACAGCAACAAAAATAAACAAATGGTCTCATTCTTTTGATGTGGCCTTGAGGAAAAATAAAAATAAAATAAAAATAAAAGAGAAAAGTTGATATAAAAAAATAAAAATAAACAAATGGGATCTGATCAAATTAAAAAGCTTCTGCACAGCCAAGGAAACTATTATTAGAGCAAATAGACAACCTACAGAATGGGAGAAAATATTTGCTCTCTATACTTCCGATAAAGGTCTGATAATAAGAATCTATCTAGAACTCAAAAGAATTAACAATAAAAAAATCAAACAACCCCATCAAGAAATGGGCAACGGAAATGAACAGAAACTTTTTCAAAGAAGACAGAATAATGGCCTGCAAACATATAAAAAATGCTCAACATCTCTAATCATTAGAGAAATGCAAATCAAAACCACAATGAGATACCACCTAACTAACCCCAGTGAGATTGATCTATATCAAGAAATCCCAACACAACAAATGCTGGCGAGGATGTAGAGAGACAGGAACACTCTTACACTGCTGGTGGGACTGCAAATTAGTGCAACCTTTGTGGAAAAGAATTTGGAGATACCTCAAAGAGCTAAAAATAGAAATACCATTCAATCCAGCAATAGCAGTATTAGGCATCTGCCCCAAAGAGCAAAAGACATTCTATAATAAAGACATCTGCACCCGAATGTTTATTGCAGCACAATTCACTATTGCAAGGATGTGGAAACAACCCAAGTGCCTGTCAATTCATGAGTGGATTATTAAAATTTGGTCTATGTTCACAATGGAATATTACTCAATTCTAAAAAATGACAGTGAGCTAGCACCACGTATACTATCCTGGATTAAGCTTAAGCCCATTATCCAAAGTGAGGCGACACAAGATCAGAAAAATGGTCTACACATGTACTCGCCATCAAATTGGTACTGACTGATTAACACTATGGTGCTCAAATGGTGGTGATGTTCACCAGGGATTTGGGGGTGGGGGGGTGGGTAGACCCACATCTGAGGGAAGTGGTAAGCATTTTGGAGGGGAAGGGTATACCTCTAACCCTTCCTAGAGAGAGGCAAAGTTATAAAATGTAACCAAAATGTAAAAAAAAACAAAAACAAAAACATTTATCGGGTGTCGGGCAGGTGGGAGGGGGGAGGAGGGGGTCAGTATACACATACATGAGTGTGATGTGCACCATCTGGAGGATGGACACGCTTGAAGCTCTGACTCGAGGGGGGAGAGGAGGCAAGGGCAATATAGGTAACCTTAACATTTTGTAACCCCATAATATGCTGAAAAAAAAAAAGAAGGAATGGAAAGCCAATAAAGTTTTAAGAAGAAGGAAGAGGTTTGGGTATATTGGAAAGACTAATCTTGAGGCAGAGGTAGGATGAATTAGAGCAGGAAGACACAATAATAATCTAGGAATTATGAGGCAATGAGATGAAGATCTAAATTTAGGGTGGGCCCAAACAGCTAATGTAGAAAAAGTACATCCCAGTGAAAAATAACTTAATGTAAACAGAAAGAAGGAGGAAGGTAGGAGAAACAATGCAAAGGAAGATTCTATAGTAGAACTTCTCAAACTATAATGTGTACAAGACTGAAGTCTGAAATCAGACATTTCTAACCATCCCCACTATGGGCATCACTTGGGAACTCCTAACCACTCACTAACAAGTTCCCAAGTGGTGCCCATATTTCATGGCCCACAGCCCACACCCTAAGAAGCAAGATTCTAGAAGATATTAGGTATGGGGGCTAAGGAAGGATCAAAACTGACTCTGTGATTGTGAATTTGGGTGACTTAGTACTAACAGCAAAAGGAGTTGGTCTGTGAAGGAAGATGTTGAATTTGGGCAATTAGATATTTATTATTTATTGTCATGATTTCTAATTACTTCTGATGTACTAGTTTTATATACTTTCTTGTGGAATCTTTTGTTATGTGGTAGCGGAAAGAAAAGGAATACAACAGGAAGAGCAAAAATTAGTTTGCTTTGATTCTAAGCAAGGAGGATTACACCTTAGCAGGGAAAGTTCAATTTGGCCTCATTTCACACCACCTTTATATTTTTCAGCCATCATCTCTTTCTCCACACCAAATACAGTTTAAAAACACACATGGTCTCTGTCCTTTGTGTTCACCCACTATAAAATTAATAGCCCATTAAGAAACACACCTGCAGTGGCTTTATTCAGAGGCCAATGCCTTGCAGCTTTTAACTCCCTAAAATACCTCCATTATTGCTTTTTGTGTTAAGGCCAAGAGTAATAACTATTTTAAGAATGTTCACTGTTAACTGTTAATAATAGATTTCAAATGCAATTTTGAACATAATTACGTATTACAGGACACATAATTTTGTGGAATTGACATTTATAATAAAATACGCCCTTTGAGATGATAAGTGACCAACTGAGGACATAATTCTTAACTGAAAGTAACTTTTTTTCCACGTGAGACAGAAATTTGATCCCTAAAGGGTTGATTATACATTTAACTCTTAAAGTCCTGGAGCTGAAAAATATCTTCAATGAGCAGGCAATTAACAGATCATGTTTATGTGGACACTTCTGTTCTCAATTTAATATCGAGTTTATTAAACTGCTATCCTCATTAGGGGCTTTTATCTCTTCTTAAAATGCATCATTTGGCCATGTACACAATATTATAAATATAAAACAATTTAAAATATTCTGGGCTTGACAAACACTGTTTTAAAGGTGCTAAGAACAGCCTTTAATGAATAGATGCTGCCATTTAAAAAAATCTGGGCAAAACTGTTTGATGGACATTAACCTTTATATACAAGCCTTACCAAATGCTACACCATCTCTTCCTTCTGCACTTTATAGCATCATATATTGCATAATGAGGCTACTTAAATGTTATTCACTAAATCAAAAGAAACTCATGAAGTTGTGTTGTTGGGGTTTCCTTGTTATTAGCCTTACTATATATCTGGAGTACATATGCATAAGTCATTTATAAAAATGATTTTAAAAGAAGATGGTTTTACCCTTTGAAAGCTTACATTACAACTAAGACAAGGTAGGTGAACAGAAATGACAACATATGAATGAACATGTGGACTATAATTTAAATAAAAATAGCAAAGCAAGCTAGTTGCAGTGATTTGGTATTAGAGAAAAGGAATTCTCACAGCTTGCAGATGGAAAATTTCTCAGCCTCTGACCTTTCACAGCTTCATATATCAGAAAGAAAGATATCTCCTTGTTAGCAAAATACACCACTAAATAGCCTGCTCTATTTTATCATCTCCCCAAATTAGTTATGGATTATAATATAGTGATTATTATTTCATTATTTTTCTTAACTTAGCTAAAAGGTGGGAAAAACTAAAGAGAAGGAAATTATATGCAGAAAAACAATATAAAATGTGAATTTTTTAAAAATTCTTCATTAATATAGGTAAATGGAATAGATTTGGCCAGACAACAT